TMGRATTGAAGAATGAAAATGGGTWTGAAAATGACMGAGTATAAAAATGGGTCAGTTTAACCTGAAATGAAAATTTGGGCTTATGAACATTATATTATAAGAAAACAAACAGTTTCTTTTATTTWCATTATCATTAATTAYTGTTTAATATCTCTTACCAGRCACCCCCTAAAAATCATATCGTTGAGTAAATAACTTTTGAAGATTAAACRACAAAATAGATGAATAAATACATCAAAACCACTTGTTCTATTTGATATAACGTWTCGACATTTTTAAATATGTCTAGAAATTAAACTAGGAAGACACGAATTARATTGTGTTTAACATTTAATAATGTTTTTTTTTTGTTAATATTTGTTAAAACATAAAAAAATATTAGAAAATAGACTCATTGTTAAAATAGTGAARTTATACATATGTAGTTTAATTAGTAAAGAACTCTAAAATTTGAAAGATTCGTAAAAAATTTTATTTTAAGGTTTGTTTGATATTTTTTTTATCTGAGTATAGTATTTAATGTATTGATTAACATATAWTTTATTTACAATAGTATTTGTTTCATATGTATTTGGTTCACAATTTGACACTCTTTACGTATACTTTTATTTTACAAAATGTCAAAAGGTTCACATTAATAYGACTTAGTACATGTGAAACAAACTCATTATAAGACAAATATATGTTAAAAAATACATTAAGTTCTAAAAATATATAAAAAAAAAAATCATATGAAATAGCACATGATGCACTAAGGTTGGCTAAATGTACATTTGCTTCTAAATTTCTTTCTCGTACACATCAACATCAATTTAATTCTTAATACATGAATTCATATGATTCACATAAAAAATGGTGCAAATAGTATTACTCTTTCTCTCTCTCTCTCTCTCTCTCTCTCTCTTTATATATATATATATACACACACACACATTCAGAGAGAGAGAATAAGAGTTAAGATAAGAAGTTTAAAAAAGAATTTGGACAATTGATCACATTTTATTTCACCCCCACTCTATAAATTATACTTTTTACGAGAATTGATTTGGCGCATGTCAACGCATCTTATTAGTGTTTATTTTCAATTAGGATTGATTCAGGGATGAATGTCCGTTCTTATCCTTCTAACCATATATTTTCACCAGAACAAAAAGTATATATGTATGTATATATATATATATATACATATGTACACACACATAAATATATATATATATATATATATACATACATACGTACATATATATATACATAGATGTGTATATATGTATATATATATATATATGTGTGTGTGTGTGTGTGGAGGGAGATGTGGGATATGAAGAATGAAGGCAAGTGTGCAAGTGTTGTCCCGTCAAATGCAGAAATTTGGAGGAGATGACATTTCACACGTTGTATGTAAAGTCACTTCTCATTTCTTCCTTCCTCCCCTTTTTTGGTAACCACATTATCCACCTCTTTTCTTACCATTTTCTTTCTTTTTTTT